CCGCCACCGACTAGCCACAGCACCCCCCATGGGGTCACTCATCATCCTCCTTGATTTGCTTTATGGCACCTTTCATTACCTTCAATGACTTTCTTCTTGTATTTACTTATATATTGTATGTCTCTTGAGTCAATAAGATTTTATTAGTTCATTATGTGACATGACAGTGTGATATGAACTGGTGATAGGAACATAGAATCTGAACCAATGTGTATGTCCTTAAGGAGACAGACAGTAATAAATATTGATAATAATATCTATATTTGTGTATAAATATCAGGTGTTTAAAAAGAAGAATGTGCTACAAAGAATAGAGCAAGCTGAAGGATTAGACAGGAAAAGTTGTTATGCCATTCTATGTTACATAGATACTCAGGGCAGGGTCCCGATTAGGTGCTACTTATTCAACGACCAGAAGGAAGTAAGGGAGTGAGACAAGAACACATGTAGGCAAAAAGGGTTCCAAGCAGTGAGAAGTGAAAGTGTTTTTTTGTCTCTCTCTCACTCTTCCTTTTTTTCCTTCCTTCCTCCCTCCCTCCCTTCCTCCCTCCCTCTTTCTTTCCTCCCTCTTTTCTTCCTCTTCCTGCTATTTTTCTCTTCCTTCTTCTTCATTTCTTCCCTGCTTACTTTCGTGTCTGCCTTCCTTCCTCTTTCTCTTCTTTCTCCTCCTTCCTTTCTTCCTTGCTTGCTTTTCTTCTTTCCTTCCTCCCTTCCTTCATCTGTCCTTCCCTCCTTCATTGTTTTCTTTCTTTCTTTCCTTCCTTCTTTCTTTCCCTTTCTTTTATAACATTATAACTACGTATTTGTTGTTTATAAATAAAGTTGTTGAGAAACATTTACCAGCACGTCTCTGAGGAGCCATTTGAAGATCATTGCAGCAGTCCCTGTGAGAGATGATGGTGGCTTAGACCAGGGTGGTAGTGAAGGAAGACATAGGAAGTGGTCAGGTTCTGGAAGCAATCTTCAAAGGAAGCACTGACAAACAGCTTTGCTGAATGATTGAGAAAATGGTTGAGAAAATGATGCACCAAGGGTGCCTTCTGGGTTTTTAACCTAAGTAATCAAAAGTATAGCTGCCATGGATTGAAATGGAAATGGCTTCAAGAAGAACAGTTTTGGGAGTGAGTGTGAATAATTTGGTTTTGGGCACATAAAGATTGAGATGTTTATTAGGTCCATCCAAATGGAGGTGTCTTGTAGAAAGTTGGATATTTGAGTCTGACACTCAGGAAAGGAGTCTGGATTAGAGATATCAATTTGAGTATTATCTGTAAAGAGAATGGTATCCCCCCGTTCTTCATAATCTAAATGGGGACTCTTTGCATATCAGTTTTTCAAGGTTTTCATGCAGAGTAGAAAAGCCATGTCATTACATAGCTATTGCATCTTGTTGAGACTGCTGAGTCAGATGTTCTCTTGATACATTTGTTTTATACTATAATGTCAGCAACTAAGCAAAATTTTCTATGAATTGATTGAAGCCCTATTTGCTTTTTTCCCAATTCAATTTCATACTTATTCTTCTTGCTTCTTAGAACTGATCGACTACAGTCATCACTTCTCAAAATCTGGTTCCAGGACTCAGAACTGCCTGCATCAGAAATAAATGGGTCTATTTTAAAATGTAGAATCCTGCACTCAAATACTAAGTCATATTAGTCCAGCAGCCTAGAAATCTGCATTGTTATTAGCAAGCAGGTGAAGATTTAGCCACTCCTGCTATGGTGTGTAAATAAAAGTATAGTATCTTTTTAATCTTTTTTTAGACTCTCCCACTGCAAAAAATTTTTTAATGATTTTTTATATTTGTATAGTTAAACCTGCCCACTCATATTCTAGGTTGCTTAGATTAGAATAGAATTGATTTCAATCATAAAGATTAAATCATTAGTTAAGCAACTTAATAACAAAACTAAATTTAATCATTCCTTCTTTTTTCTTTCAAAAAGTGTAATTTTAGGATATACTGCAGCTTTAGGATATACTATTCAGACAAAAACTTGGTCTCAATGGTAGATATTGAATTGCTGTGGTAATTTTAAAGGGTTGTTAAATATTTCTGATTCTCCCTTTTTCTGGGCACATAACAGAATTGTATTGCATTTCCTAAACCCCTTGTGATTTAAGTGTGCACAGAAAAGGAGTAGAGGCCAATAAGTATTATACTTAGTGCCAGAACATTTAATAGCCAGTGTTCCTTTATCCTCCTCGTATCTTTCCCTGTACTTGAGATGGAGGCTGCCCTGTTATCCTACTTACCTGAGTTAATACAATTAGCAGAAGCTCATCTGCCAACCTGCAATAACACAGTGTGTATGGGAAATGCAACTTTGCAATTTTAAGCCACTAGGATGGGGATTGATTACTGCAGCACAATCTACTTTCTCTAGCAGAACTGAGTTACTTGGGCATGAGTTATCTCCCATTCAGTAGGCTGATACTGTGAATTGACTTAAGCTAATTTATTCTTCAACAATTGTCAGGGATTTTTGCCAGTATACATCTCTTCTCTTTTAACTATGATACCAGAGAGTTTATTTAAAAAACAAACAAAAACCAAAGTAAGTTACAAACCAATTTCTGCAAATGTACACACTTTTATTAACAATCAGGTACAAAATCCATCAAACAGCCCCTTCCAATAATCTGGGGGTGGTTTCCCCTTGTCCTTTTCAGCATGTCATCCAGCACACAGTAGGAAAAGTTCTCTGATGCACGACACAACATATTCTGGTGTCAGGAGAATGAGCCTTGTAGTAGTACCAGGTGAAGGAGTCACCTTCTAAGTTAAGGGATGGGTAACAAATTAAATAGGATTCTAAATCTAGGGTGTCAAAGATTTTAGCCTCTTGCCCTTATACTGGCACTTTTATACTTTGCTCACAATGAGGAGATGATTATCCAGTTCTAGCCAGTCATACATCTTGATCACCATTGTCTCACCAGTGAAAAATTGTCAAAACTCTCCGTAAATCACCAACCCCCCCATGTATAATTTCACAGAGCAATGTTTGGAAATTCCAAGCATTTGTCACAGTTACCCCTGGAGTGCAAACTATAGATTAGACACTTTAAATCTTAACCAACTTGAGAGTGATTCCCTAACTAGAATTCTTCAAATCTTAACTAATTTTTCTAGTTTGTAAATTAAAGGTCAACTAATGTACTTCATACCATGCTTACTGGAGCATTTTAAAGTAAATTACAGGCACCAATAGAATTAATTATGGATTTTAGTTTTTCACCCCATGTTCTACTAAGAGTACAAAAAACATAAAACTGACCAGAAGCGTACAGTATTTTACTTAACAAATGTAAATCTATTAGTACATGATTTTTAATAGTTTACGTTAGACTTTCCCAATATTTTTGTTATTCATCTTGGTTCCAAACAGATTAAGAATTATTTGTAGTTATTTAAATGAAAAATATATAATTAAACTGTTTACATATTGTGTAGAGTTTTTTAAACAAAAAATAGACTACATTGACTTAATATGAAAATCTTGAAATATTGGGTTATAAATTTAGATTCTGCTGCCTTCTTTCTGCATGCTCATGGTCTGGAAAGGAGACTAGCCTCCTTAATGTTTTAGTTTCCAAATATTTTGCCAACTATGAATGAACTAGGTCAAAGGTGGAAAGCATTCTTTCTACAGCCTACATGAATATTCTGCTGTTTGAAAAACTGGACTAGCCCATCAATCATGTTAATACTGTAGATTCTCACAGAGTTGAAATATAGCCTGTAAAACCTTATCTTATGTAAGCATATGTTTTTCCAAAATCTTCAGCTCATTTCAAATTATTTTAGTTACTGCTATGGATAAATAATTTCTGGATGCCTAGGATAGCAAATAATATTGGTAAGAAAATTAATTGTAAATAGAGCATATAAAATGACTTACTTTAAAACACTTCTAAAAAACTTAGAATAGTTTTAAATATTAAAATTTTAGACATTACTCTTATTTTTGATGATATATTTTAATATTAACATTTAAAAATAAAACTGTATTTAAAATGTAGCATTCTACTAATAACCCCTGTGATTCAAAAAAACATTTTTAGTATAGAATTAGAAATATTAAACAAGTTAATTGGTGGTGTTTTGTAGGTTCACCCATATGACAATCTTTTGTCTCTAAAATATTTGTGGTATTTTGGAAACAACTATAACATTAAAATAGCAAGAGCACAATTTGACTTCAAAGTCAATTTATGTAAACTTAACTTTGGCTGGACCTGTTTTACTAATTTTAATCCCTGTGAATTTTGATGTTTGGAAGTTGTACATTTCCAAATTTATTTATTTATTTATTTAATAAAAAACATTTTAATGATTAATGTTTAAACATTATTTAACATTGTGGGTATATCCAGATGAGCTAAAGCACACTTTGACTGCACACTATTGAATGTTATAGTTTCTGTATTGAAATATGTAAAGACATTCACAAACTAGTACCTAGGAAGACATGCATTTAAGCAGACCTACAATGAATTGGATTGATTATTCCTAGCAACGTACTTTATTGATATTATTGATATTGTTATTGTGCAGTAATTTTTATGGAATCCAAGAGGATGACTATTTTTCTATAGGGAAGGTGGTTCCAGTTGACAGCATGTAAACTGCAATATTTAAATTTTTTAAACTCCCATTTAAAAAAAGACATTTTGGCTTTAAGATTTTTTTAAATAAGTGTAAATTGAACACTTCGTATGTTAGTTCAGGGAAATTTTTTAAATTTCAGTTTTGTTGAGGTATAATTGACATAAAATTATAAGATATTTAAGATATACATCATGGTGATTTGATATGTGTATACACTGTAGGATTTCCCCATCTAGTTGATAAACACATCCATCTCCTCACATATTTATCTCATATTTATTTATTTATTTATTGGTGAGAACATTTAAATTGTACTATCTTAGCAAAGTTCATGGGAATTTTTAATGATGACCATATCCTCATTTATTCATTTTCCTTTCAGGTTATTGATCATTAAAATGCCATTGTAAAGGGATGACTCAGAAATAACAGTAAGTTGAAAGACATATCATTTTAATATTGTACTATAACATATCATACCATATGTGATGACTTTTTTCCTTTTAATTTTGTACACTAGTGTAGGGCATAGAATGTGACAAGAACCCCTAGACCTTAAAGTATATTTTTCTGTGAAGCCAAAATATTTTTAACTAAACTCTGCTAGTCAGTAATTTTTGGATTTGGCAAGTTTCAGTGCAGTCCTGTTTTTGAGAAAAGTCAACAAAAGTATTTCCCTTCTAATTCAATATTCTTTTTTCCCTGAAACAGTTTTTCCTTTTGGTGCAAATACTTATGAACTCAGTATTTTGACAGTAACAATAATATATTCTGGTTTTTTTTTTGTTCTTTTTTTGCTGTACTGAAAGTAATGTTTATGCTGGATTTAAACTTTTGTCAGCCAGATCTACTTATTAAACCAAATGAAATAGGTATGATAAGAACACTTTCTTTGTTTTATTGAATTACATGAGCCTTGTTAGTAATACACTTACATCTAATATTTATATATTACCATTGCTGTTTCAAGCTATGAATCTTAATGTTTCATGTTTTAATAAACTATTTTGATCAGCCACATGTTTTCTTCTGAAATGGACATACATCATATGCAATGGACTGGAGGAATTATTTTGCCTTTTCTCATGATTCATTAGAATAAATTAAAATTTCTGTTCTGGCAAAATTATCAACCAATACTTTAATGAAGTGCTATTTTAATGCAACAGATTTACTTCCTCTCCTGACATTAAGATATACTTTTCTGCTTATAACATTTACTACCCAAAGATTGCTGATACAAAAAAATACTGAATAAAGATAGCCTCAGGAATAAAACACAGGAAAATAATGTTAAATTAAAAACAACTTGTGAATTAAAATATACATATATGTGTGTATTCACGTACAAATACACACGCATAGAGATATATAATAATATATCATTATATATTTACAGGTATGTAATTATATATTATGTAAGTATATAATAATATATAATTGATTTAAATAAATTATATAAGTATATATAAGTAAATTATGTAAGTATATATAAATATTTAAATCTATATAATTATACAGATAGATAATTGTAAAAGCAATATGTAGTAAAACTCAAAACAGATTCATGTAAGAGAAAGTTGCTAACCCTTTCCACCTCTTGGTCTCCCTCCCGTCCCTGGGGTAGCCAATGCCAAAGCTGGTGTGTGTTCCTCTACCTCACTCCTGTGAGCTTCCCCACACTCAGAAAGCACAGATGCACATTTTTATCTTTTTTGTCAGAAAGGTTTACTTTTTCTTTTATTGTTTGTTTTTATAAACAAACTACCAAGAACATTGCTCTTTAGCTTGTTTTTTCAAAGTTGTCCCTTTAAGTTAACATATGTAATATTCCATATTATGGTGCACTAGCTTTTAGTTAAAGAAAATAAAAATCTGGATGTTTAGTGTCCTCCTTCTATCACAGCCCTAGATTAGAAGGCATAGATACTGCCATAAATGGCAAATCTCACTGATATTTTAACTCCAAAACAGATAGCCAAATGAAAATGACTTGAGGCCTATGTTAGAGCAGGATATCAAGATTTAAGAAGTGAATAATAACTCAGTAAACGATGAGTTCTTGAACTGATTTATTGTACATGTGATCTGGTGTTATCCACCTCCAACAATCTATGATCCCCAAAGCAGAATACATGCTGCTTTGCTATGATGTAATGGTTGCATTCTTCAGACACTACATTTGAGGAAAAAAAAAAAAAAATCACACTATAAAACCATGTTTCAGTAGAAAGAAATGAGTTAGGGGATGGATTTGCTAATTTTACTAACCTTCCATCGGTGGTTTAAATTCAGGATTCTCTTTATATCAAGATTAGGCATAATGAAGAGAGCAAAAATAAATTAAGCCATGGACTTATATAAATGAACATAAATTAAAAAAAACATAATAATATCTGAGAGTAAATAACTTTACTTATATAAAACACAATTAGCAATTTTGTTTAGAATGGCACAGGTCATCAGAAAGCTATATATATATATATATATATATATCATATAAAATATCATAATACATGTCATATATATTCATCATTTTTATACATTACGTATCTGCTGATGATACTGATGTTATACTGATGTTATGTCTATTATATATTTATTTATTTTTATATATTATACTGATATAGTATACTCACCATGCTGATAGGTGCACCTGACTTTGCCCCCTTAAATTTTGTGTAGAAAAGATATTTTTATTTTACAAAATTTAAATACTAACACAACAGCATTACACAGCTAGAATGTGCATTTAAGAAGTTTCTTAGCTAACAAGTTTTTAAAAGTCTCTACGTAAGGGTGTGTTGTGTGTGTGAGTGTGTGAGTGTGTGTTCAGCATTGAGCCTAGATTTGGAGCTAACAGTGTGGGTCAGGCAGTTTAAGCCCAGCCGACTGTGAAGAGAAATTTGATAAGAGTGATTCAATTCAATCCATCAATGTTTACTGAGCACTTACTATGCGCTAGGTAATCTTCTAAATGGTAGAGTTACAGTAGTGAACACAAGTTCAGGCAAGCATAGCTTTTACATTCTAGTAGTAGTGATGGGGCAGAAGGGGGGCAGGCATTAAACCAACAACCAAATAAAAAAAATGTTATACTGTTTTTGATAGTGTCAAATAATGGGAAGAAAAATAAAGTTGGGTGGGAGGTCAGGGGGAGGATATCTTCTATTTTAGGTTGGGGAAGGCTTTTCTGAGTTGGTAGCATCTGAGGAGAGACTTGAAAAAGTGACGGAGTACGCTTACCATAAGTTTTCTGGGAAACAGCATCTCAGGCAGAAGGAAGAGTCAGAATTAAGTTCCCAAGGAAAGAGGATTGTTTTTGGAGAGCACTGTCTCCAAGGAGAGAGCACATATTTGAGCAATACCAATGAGGCCAATGGGATGAGGCAAAGTCATGTAAGCTCTTGTTGGTCATGTTAAGAATATTGGGGTTTTCTTCTAAGTCAAATGGGAAGCTGTTTTGATCAGAGATGTGAATTGACTTACATTTTTAAGAGTGTGCTTTGCCGTTGAAGAATAGCCTGAGCGAAGGGTGGGAAATCATTTAAACACTTACAGTACTTCAAAAGAGTGGACTCATATCCACTTGGTGCTTTTAAACAGAATGATCTGAATACCATAATGTTTGATTTACACTGTATTTAGTATTCATAACAGAATAGAATAATATTTGTAAAATCTTTAAAACAATATTGGCGTACAGTAAGTTCTATGTAAATACTCTTATCTTCATCCTCTTTGTCATCATCATCATTACTGGCATGATCAAAAGGCATAATAGATGCCCTTAGGGAAAATGATAGTTCCCTCCAATGTTTTTACAAGTATGACCCTCTATTCCTCACTAGAATCAAACAGAAAGGATTTTGGGGTGTACTATACCACATAGAATTGTTTAAGAATAAGATGCATAACATCCAATACTTTATATTAATTTTGAATTTACCTCGTAAATTATAACTAAAACTTCATTTTTTAAAATAACAGCTAAAATAAACCTGCTTGCATTATTTCTATTTACATTTTAAAAATTAAGTCTTAAACTTTTATGAAAATATCATCTGAAAACCTAAATATGTACATTCATTCTAAGCTGACTTTTTTGAGCACCAGTTAATTCTTAGATATGACTGTCTTCTGTGTATTAATGTTTCGTGTAAATTTTTTCACTACTTGGCCTAAATTGATATAGATCACACACACACATACACAACCTACATAACATTAGCTGTACACTTTAAAATCCAAGGCTTAGTATGTGGAGAGAAGCATAGTATCAAAAATAATATTTTTGTTTCTTCTTCAACTTATTAGTTCTTTAGTTTCCTGAGGACTGCTTTTTAACAAAGGGTACACAAATCTGTTTTGTGTGTTTTTTAAATTTTTGGTGCATAATTTTTTTGTTTTGTTCTTTGGGTGGGCTTTGTTTGTTTGTTTGTTTTAGACTGGAAACATGATGAATAGTGCTAATTTTAACTTGAGCTTCAAACACTGAGTGATATTTTAAGACCTACACCTTTGATATGGTAACAAAATAAATAAACAAAACAGGCCAATAAGCCAAATGGAGAAATGCTGGTACAGACAAAATGTTTTAGTTTTCTGATCTAGGTCTGGCAACCCAATTTATATACTTTAGAAACTTAGGTATATTTACCTATCCTGGTGTGTAAATAAACTGGATAATTGCAATATAGTCCACATTTTGTACATTAAACTAGAAGAAAAAAAACATGGAGCGTATAAAATCATAAAAGGTATTAGTAATGCTCAGAAATATAAACTGATGCTAGGAGTATTTGTCTTTTAGTAAACATTTCCGATTTAATGATATATAAATTTGCATACCTAAGCCCAGATCTGAAATAGTCTAATGGTGAAATTCAATCTGGTTTCAGCTAACTTACATATGATTAACTAATAAAAGTTGACACTGAGCTCATTTTGTATTTTAACTATAAAACGTATGTTGCAAAAGTTAGTCTGACATATGTCAAACCCCTCAAAATGTATGTATCAATATTTACATAGTATTCCTTCATAAATCTTTATGGAATGATCTTGAAATTAAATTACTGGTCTTTAGAAAGTTAATAGGACAATATCTAAACAGAGTTGAGATCTCAGACATAAAAACATAAGTTCTGATCTATTTGCCTTTGGCCTAGCACCAAAGTACCTTCTGAAAGAGTCACCATAGAAAGCTGTTTGTGTGTCTTTTCATCCTGCTACCAAGTGAGCATACATAGCTCAGTTGATGTCTAGAAGCTGTTAGGTTGTGCAAGCAAAGACAAGGGTTCTGCTTTTCTTGCTAACAGTATAAGTTGCCATTGTTTAACCTCTAGATCTGACCCTGGAAGAGAGTTTGGTCATCAGTACTCAATCTGGGGGGAAAAGCGGACAGAGTAGTGGTGAGAGAGGGATATAG